TTTTTTGAGACAAGGTTTCTCTGTGGTTTTGGAGCCTGTCCTGGACCTAGCTCTTGTAGACCAGGCTGGTCTCGAACTCACAGAGATCCGCCTGCCTCTGCCTCCCAAGTGCTGGGATTAAAGGTGTGCGCCACCACCGCCCGGCTTTCCGGGTTCTGTTTAAGTCCTTGTATTATAGCCTTGTTGGCCGCATGAGGACGCTTGCTTAGGGAGCTTGCATCTGTCAGGGACGACACCCGGTGAACAGCAAGCCCAGTATGTTAGTAAATTCTCTAGGTTTACCAGATGCCATAAGCAAAGGGAGAGTTGAGCAGGGGAAGGAGAGCTAGAGACCCTGGGGGCGGGGCCAAGCACAGCATTCAACAGAATGCTCAACTAACTGGATGACTTCAGCAAAGAGGGGAGATTTTGTGAGGGCAATGCACAGAACAGGGTGTTGGAGCGCACACGATGAAAGCAAGTCCTTCAGCGGGACAAGGCCCTGCCTACAAAAGCACAGCTGTCCGGCGGGAGCAGATTAAACAGTGCACTTGGACTTGCTATCTGGACCGCGCTGGTCTGCCCCTCCCCAACTACAGCTGAGGAAACCGGAGGTGCGCGATTTCCAGGACCACTCAGCCAACAGGCTATGGTCAGAAATCAAGCTTTGATATTCCAGGCACCAAAATCTGTTTCTCCTTTCTAAAGGAGCCACGATCAAGGTTTCTGAAATCTATTGCCAATTCCAGGTGCCAATTTTTAGTTAATTTTTTGACATTGGTGCATTGGACACTGTAAAATTCACCTAATTTTCTTTTTAAAGAACCAGGTAGCAAATGTCTTGGGTCTTGCCGGCCATCTGGCCTCTGCTGCAGTGACTCAGACCAGAAAGGCTCTAACAACATAAAAGCAAATGGATGATGCAGAAGGCCAGTGCGGCAGTGTTTGTGGGGAGTAGATGCTGAGCTCCACCTAATTCTCATGGGAGTCAAACTGAAGGGTGGAGACTCAATAGTGTTTCACCGATGTCTTCATTTCTTTAGCTCAACCTTCTGCTGAAAGACAAAGTATAACTTGGTTTTTATTGAAGTAAAATATATACTATTCTTAAAAACAATAGCAGCAACAAAACAACAGCAACAACAAAGAAGCCTGCTTCATCTGAGAGGCTGACAGAAGAAGGCAGCCAGATGGATTTGACCGCGGGTGGGTCACACTCTGCTGATCTCGACTATGAAGCACTCCTTGGCTCTTGATAACCTCCTGTCTGTCAGTGTCTGACGTTCTTAGACCTTCGTTCCTTCACTTCTTTCAGGTGGTTTTATCCCTAGGAATAGATGTAACTGTTTTTTTACTGACCTAGAAGCTGAGGCACGGAGAAATTAGGCAGTTAATGCAAGGTCACAACAGTCGACAAATGTCAAACCGGGGAAGAAGAGTCAGGAACAATAGGCTGAGCTGTGCTCAGACACTAAAGCAATCAAACTCCAGTTGCCTTCTTCCCCGAGGCCTTTTATGGGTGACTTCCAAAGAGCTCATGGATGTCTGAGGGCCC